CGTGTGCTCTTCCGTAATATTTGAAATAGTTCCATTTTAAATAGGTATTTGAAATGGAAATGGCATTTTGAATTGTCTATTTTAAATGCTTTTTGAAAAACCATTTTCATTTTACATTTGAAATGGAAATATTTATACATTTAACTATTTATAAAACGGATAAATGGTTTTTTTAAGCGCTCATAAATTTCTCCTAGCATTATTAATTATGTTTACACGAATTATTCTTATGCTGCGTTTGGTTTGGCACTTACAGCACTTGTGAGCATCATTTGTCCTTTTTTAACATTTAAAAAACAGCGAGGATGAAATAATAAGCGCTGTAAGCGTCAAAGTGAATGCAGCCTTAATCGGGTTTAATAACATCTGTAGGTAGTAATTAACCTAACCGATCAAAGCTATACCTCTGAAGAATAAAATGACTGATTGGCCAGTTTTATAGTTACAGATATTATTAAACCCGATTAAGAATGACGTGTAAACGTAGTCTTTGACGTTTAAAAGAAGTCAAGTTTTGTAATTAGTCAAAATACAATTTCTTCTATGGACGCGTTCAGTTGACAAAGTAGATCAGTGAGCGTTTAATTAGCGTTTAATGATTCTTTAATATGATTGGTTTTTGCCTGTAGCTTTTTGCTGGAGGAGCTGGATCTAAGTGAATGAATCAATACCGTAACAAAGGCAAATCATTAAGCGCTCACTGATCTGTCTGCTAAACGCGCCCTTGAACTTAACGTTTACGAGCATCATTTCTCCTTGTTTAACTTTTAGCGAACAACAAGGATAAAACAATTCCATATTTTATAAAATAAAACAAATAAAATGTATGATTATATTAAAATAAATTGCTAATTAAATTGCATACACTAAGAAAACCTATTTTGCATTTAAAAATCATTTAAAATATATCTATATTTATCTATTTACATTTAAAATGAATTCGAAAAACCTATTTTACATTTTGCATTTTAAATACCTTTTTTAAGGTATTTTATATTTGGCAGTTTAAATATAATTTGTAAAGCATTTTACTCAGCCCTGCTAACCACACACGATCTATGCGCCGCATGGTTGTCGCTCTTTTTGCATGAAGCCGCGGAAACTTGTAACTGATTAAATTAACAAATAATTTAATATCTTTCAATGCTAATACGCATTTATATGAAATTCCCCTTCCCTAAACCTATAAAAAAATTTATTGCGAAAAATAACACCTTAGCTCCCAGCCTGGAATCGAATCCGGATCTCCCAGTTT